TATAGGTCTCCCTTTATATGTGAGGGCACGTTTACCCCTTGCTGCTTTCAGAATTTTCTCTTTATCCTTGTATTTTGCCAGTTTCACTATGATATGTCGTGCAGAAGATCGATTCAAGTTACGTCTGAAGGGAGTTCTCTGTGCCTCTTGGATTTCAATGCCTTTTTCCTTCCCCACTTCAGGGAAGTTCTCAGCTATTATTTCTTCGAGTACCCCTTCAGCACCTTTCCCTCTCTCTTCCTCCTCTGGGATACCAATTATGCGTATATTATTTCTTTTAGTGTATCACTTAGTTCTCTAATTTTCCCCTCATACTCCTGGATTTTTTTATCTCTCTTTTTCTCAGCTTCCTCTTTTTCCATAACTTTATCTTCTAGTTCACCTATTCTCTCCTCTGCCTCTTCAATCCGAGCCGTGGTGGTTTCCATTTTGTTATGCATTTCGTTGAAAGCGTTTTTCAGCTCCTCATGACTGTTCCTTAGTCCCTTGATCTCTGTAGCAAGAGATTCTCTGCTGTCAGCTATACTGTTTTCAAGCCCAGCGATTAATTTTATGACTATTATTCTAAATTCACTTTCTGTTATATTATTTAAATCCTTTTTGATCAGCTCATTAGCTGTTGTTATTTCCTGGAGATTCTTCTGAGGGGAATTCTTCCGCTTGGTCATTTTGGATAGTCCCTGGCGTGGTGAGGACCTGCAGGGCACTTCCCCTGTGCTGTGGTGTATAACTGGAGTTGGTGGGCGGAGCCGCAGTCAGACCTGATGTCTGCCCCCAGCCCATCGTTGGGGCCACAGTCAGACTGGTGCGTGCCTTCTCTTCCCCTCTCCTAGGGGCGGGATTCACTGTGGGGTGGGGTGGCCCGTCTGGGCTACTTGCACACTGCCAGGCTTGTGATGCTGGGGATCTGGCGTCTTAGCTGGGGTGGGTAGGCAAGGTGCACAGGGGCAGGAGGGGCAGGCTTAGCTCGCTTCTCCTTAGGTGATCCACTTCAGGAGGGGCCCTGTGGCAGCAGGAGGGAGTCAGATCCGCTGCCGGAGGTTTGGCTCCGCAGAAGCGCAGAGTTGGGTGTTTGCTGCGCAGAGCCAGAGCGAGCAAGTTCCCTGGCAGGAACTGGTTCTCTTTGGGATTTTGGCTGGGGGATGGGCGGGGGAGATGGTGCTGGCGAGCGCCTTTGTTCCCCACCAAACTGAGCTCTGTCGTCCGGGGGCTCAGCAGCTCTCCTTCCCTTTGTCCTCCAGCCTTCCTGCTTTCTGAGCAGAGCTGTTAACTTCTGACCTCCCAGACGCTAAGTCGTGCTTGCTGTCGGAACACAGTCCGTCAGGCCCCTCCGCTTTTTGCAAGCCAGACTCGGGGGCTCTGCTTGGCCGGCGAGCCGCCCCTCCGCCCCGGCTCCCTCCCGCCGGTCCGTGGAGCGCACACCGCCTCGCCGCCCTTCCTACCCTCTTTCGTGGGCCTCTCGTCTGCCAACATATTTTTTATTGAGCAAATACTATGTTATTTTTGTAAAAATATATTTTTATATGAGGAGTTTCAGATACAGCAAACACTACCACTATAAACCATGCAATATCCAGATTGGCTAACCCAGGTTGCTTTCCTCTTTTCTGTCTGGAGTCCAGGGTCTTTTTTACCCACTATGAATCTCGACATTTTTTGGGAGTGGATGGGTGAAGACACACTATGATAGTGGCAGGGTCCATGGGACTAGAAGTAGCTAAAGAACCCAACCTAGGTGTAAACAATAGCAGCTAATCCATATTCTGTATTCAGTGCAGATAAGTGAGTTAACTATACAACATATTTTCTTGGCTCATTTTGTTCAATTAGCTATCTTATTTTCTTGTGACAAAAAATATTTTCAACCTGTGCATTCTTAAAATGGAAAGAGTACTGCCAACAGTTAATGACTGACTAGCCCAAAGAATGGCATTTTCTAAGCTGAAAATTTAAAGGATTTCAACTTCACTCACCACAGGATGGCTTTCTCTTGTTTTTTCTCTGTGTGCAAGAAAAGGTGGATCAACACTTTTGCATTCGTCACTAAAACACTGTTTATGTCTTTTTGGTCGGGCAGCAGGAATTTTGACTTTAAAAATTAAAATTAGAAAATATAATAAGAATGTGTAAAAATTTAGCTTCATTTTATCAATTTTAATGGTGACAGGAATGGAAAGAATAAATTAAGTCTACAATTACTAAAATATCTTAATTTGGGTCAGCATCTCATTGTTTATTCTCAATTGCTTAATTACAGCTAACATTTACTGAATACTTATCACACGCTAGATGTCAAACTCTTCGTGAGCCATCTTATTTAATCTTCATACAAGCCCTGTAAGCCAGGTAGTTTATTCTATCCATTTTACAGAAGAGGAGAGTGAAGCTTAGAGGGATTGAGGAAGTTTTCTTAATGTCACATAGCTAGCATTGAAATCGGATCTGACTCCAAAATCCGTGCTCTTAAACCACTACGTCTATGATTCATTGTCTCTGATCCTTTCCCATTCTGGATTCCCTTTCTTCATATAACTATTGTTCCCCTATGTCCCTCATCCCTTTACGGTACCTGACCAAGGAAATGTACACACAAGAAACAACAGACAAGTGGGAACTGATACAGCATTTCATAACAGAGTGCCCGATAACTCCAAACACGGCTGTGGAGAGGGAGAGATACATGGCTAGGGCTCTAAGAAAGGCTCTGACCCTATATATTTACCATATGGTAGCAGGTAATGAAAAGAGGAAACCTTGTATCAGTGTTGACCTTGACCTACATGTGATCTAGCTCACTTGTAAAATATGAGACAATGATTATCCTTGGCTCTGACCAATCGTAACAGTAGTATGATTCCTCTCTTGAAAATCAACAATTGTTAAGGATAGTATAGGCTGGGAGAAATGTGACAGGGGTTCTTTTCCCAATCTTTCTGCCTCACTGGAAGAAAGGGCAGATATGTTCCTGGGTTTCTTGTATGAGTCAAGCAGGACAGAAAAGGAAGAACAATTCATTCTTCTCAACATTTAATAAATTGTGTTTAACTGTTTTATGTCTTCTGGTTGATCTCCACACAAGACTGGAACTTCCTCAAGCGCAAGTACATAGTTTGCATAGCAGGTGCTCAACAAATGTATGATATCTAAATTAGTGTTCACTGAATGCCTAATTCTTGTAGATAGTTCATTATATTATTTAAATGCAAACTATTTCTTTTTTTAAAATTTTTTTTTCAACGTTTATTTATTTTTGGGACAGAGAGAGACAGAGCATGAATGGGGGAGGGGCAGAGAGAGAGGGAGACACAGAATCAGAAACAGGCTCCAGGCTCTGAGCCATCAGCCCAGAGCCTGACGCGGGGCTCGAACTCACGGACCGCGAGATCGTGACCTGGCTGAAGTCGGACGCTTAACCGACTGCGCCACCCAGGCGCCCCTAAATGCAAACTATTTCTAAAAAATGGTTCATAAAATTTTGCCTGGCTGTACATTCCCTTGAAATATTCTTTACACTATATTCACACATACACATATGTATACATGTATATTTCCTTAACAAATTCATATTCTGGCATCAGAACATGAGATTCTTAAAAAGTTGGCATCAGTCCAACTTTCACATGTACCATTACAAATTTTGAAGTAATGGAATCTTACTTCCAAAGACTGAGTATAATGTCAACCTTTTTCAGCCCCTCTACAAGTAAGCTAATCTGTGTGGATTCAATTACATCTCTATCTCAGACCCAATGTTAGAGATTAATAATGGTTTAATGAATAATATGGGCTCCATTTCAACACATAATTCCAAACCAACAGGATCATATGGTATATAAATTAAACCAAATGTGGAAATGCTAATTTCTAAAAACAATGCTTTTCAAGAGTTTAATAAACATATAAAACATCTACCCCAGTCATGAAACAATTTACACTATAAATCTGAAGATTTTATTTTTCTAAGCAGAGGCATGCACTTGTATAAAAGAGCAGGCAATACTTCCACACATACCAGTGACTGTGGCATTACTTTCATCTCTATTATCAGTCTCAACAGCATCATAAGATTTCAGCAGCTTTTTTGTTTTTTCATCATCTGCTTCATTCAAAGCAGTATTCTGCTTTTGATTCTTCTGATTTGGGTTTGCTCCATGTTGTAGTAGAATCTCAGCTGCCTAGAAGATATTTTCCCAAGGTTATCTCTATAGACACCTTTCTGCTTTCATTTTAAGACACCACCATTAAAAGTTATCAAAGTATAAAAAGCTATCAAAAAAGCTGGCAAACTCTGGTCAAGAAAATTTTTGATTAAATTTGATATGACAACTGTAAACTGATCCACTGATTTGGCCTGATCTGTCCTCACAGGAGAACCAAACATGATGACATGAAAGTACCAGATATGCAGCCTTCAGGGCAGTTAAGAAGCAAATATAGATAAAATGAGGTGCAAGATTTACTCTGTCTCGTTAACAGAGCTCTTTGTCTTCCTCCAACCTGCATTACTATATTTTAGGTATGTTACTTGTTTAAGAAATTTTATGAGCTAGCATGAGAATCCATAACCCTCCTAATAATGTCTATGCACGTCTATTATGCGTCCTAACTAACTTACATGTTAAAGGTAAAAGGCAACTTAGAATCTACTCCAACCCCATCATTTTAGGGAAGAGGAAACTGAGGTCAAAGAGCTTGTGACATTGGGTGGAGGGTGATTTCTAATATAAATGAATTTGTAAGTTTACAAAGTCATTTATATTAGAATATAAAGTTGAATAACTCAAAGTTGTTGCATATTAGAAATTAGTGAATGACCAAAGTTAAAGATGTTACTACTTAGTTTATAGTATAACTCAGTTAGTGAGCAATAGCCAATGAGTCCATCTGCGTGAGGAAAGCGATTCAAATCATTGAAAAACCTGATCAGGAAAAGATGGCCAGGATTTTGTTAAAAATAGAGACATACTATGTGTCAGTGGCTTTTCTCTTTCTCCTTATGTCCAGGTATGGAGAAGCAGAGATACTTAGGAGCAGATGGGCCAGTGAAGATGACAAGGACAGCCCCTCATTTGTTCCATCAGCCCAGGGTTAGCATAGCATAAAAGAAAACACATTTGTTCTCAAGTCAAGCATATAGAACTCACTCCTGCTACTTACTAACTGTCCTTGAAGAAGTTTATTTACCATTTGAACCTCATTTTTATCACCTTTGAGAACTAAATGTGAGCCCTTGTCAAATATCTTATACTAGTGGGTCTTTAATGAAAGCAGTCCCGTCTGAGTAAAGGCATTTTGTTTTGTTTTTACAAGAAGGGGTGAGCAGTACCTCAATCCAGTAGTTTCTAAGCCTGAGTGATCAGTAAAGTCACCTGTGGAATTATTTAAAAATACATATTCCTTATACCCTTTTTCCACTACTATATGGGGGATAGAGGAAGCTTGTTTTGTTTTGTTTTTTAACAAAGGAAGCTTTTCTAGAGTTAAAAATTATGCCATATAAATAATGACTCTTCTGTGTGTTAGGATGAGGCCTTCCTCTCAGGCCTTGACCTTTAATGTATTAACATGGATTCATTTAATATATTAGTTCTGAGGAAACAGAGAACTCAGCTCATTGGAATGGGACCCTGAACAGCTATTTTTCAGTAATGCCTAAAAGAACAGCTACAGGGTCACAAGGCACTAAACAGGAATGGCTAACAGAGAGCTCCAGGCAATAAGATAGGGTGGACCTGAGGAACAAAGAGCTTGACAAAAATTAGGTGACCAAGAAGTAGGCCCCTTGCTTAACTTTTTTTTTTTTTTTTTAATCCGCTTTACTAGGGTAATCACGACGACAACCATGACTTAGAAACATTCCATCATCATAAAAAAATTTATTATGGCTCTCTGCAGTCAATCTTTTCCCACCTCCCTTTGGCCCTTGGCACTCAGCAATCTGGTTCAATCACTATAAATTTTCCCTTTTGTAGTATTTCATATGAATGGAATCATACAGTATACAGTCTTCTTTGTGTGTGGCTTAAGTTAGCATGATGTTTCTGAGAGTCATCCATATTGCTGTATCGATGGTTTCATCTGGCTACTTGCTAGCTGGTATGGGAACAGTGTTATAACAATGAATGGAAGTTACACCTATTCTGCCACGCAGACAGACGTGTTCAGGAACACCTGTAATGAAGATGTTTCTAAGAATGCTACTTGATAGGTATGATGATAAGAGTGTTACTTCAGGGAATGGAAATTACATATCATTTGCAATGTATGTGGTATTAAAGGACACTTGTAGTAAAGATGTTTCTAAGAAAAAATAGTTTGTTCCTTTTAATGATGTATCTGTGTATCCATCTATTTATTTATCAGTTGAGAGACATTTGGGTTCCTTCCAGTTTCTGGCTATTATGAATAAAGCCACTGTGAACATTTGAGTATATATCTTTATGTAAACATAAGGTTCTTTTTTAAGATTTCTGTCTCTCTGTTGGACCTCTAGTTTTGTTCATGTATTACTTTCCCGATTTTACTGAGTTGTCTTGTAGACTGCTGGGCTTCTTTAATACCATTATTTTAAGTTCTTTGCCAGACAATTCATAGATTTCCATTTCTTTGGGGTCAGTTACTGGAAAATTATTGTGTTCCCTTCTTGGAGCCATGTTTTCCTGATTTGTTAACGTTCCTTGAAGTCTTGCATTGCCATCTTCACATCTGAAGAGACAGTCACATCCTCTAATCTTCCCTAACCAGCTTTGAAAGAGACATCTTCACCAGTCAGTCCATCTCAGGATTCTGAGGCTTTCTTAGATTTTTTTCTATAGATGTATTTGCTGCACATTTCTTGTTTTCTCTTGGAGGGAGTTCTTAAAACTGTATGCCTTCTATTGATTCCATGAAGCCAGGCCAATTGGCTTTTGTTTGTTTTTCCAAGGGGGGGGTTCTCTAAAATGTCCCCTGAAATCCTACAGAATTGAACTTTCTGTGTTGGATTACTAGCAAGTCTGCAAAGGCTTACTTTTGCTGCCCACGAGAGTGCACAGAGACAGCTGGCCACAGAGTAGGGTAATAGAAGGGGTATGTGGGTGAGGTGTGCAGAGCATCAGGAAGATTCAAGGAGCTACGTGGGGAGTTCTACAGGTGAGGCATCTCCAACAACCTGTAGGTAGGCTTCCTGGAGTCCACAAACTGGTTAGTTGGAACAACTGTGGAGCAGTTAGCAGCATCACAGAAGCTGGTGAGTTCTAAGCCTTTGCTGCTATGTCCCCAGCCTCTCCCAGCCCTTCAGTCTTGCAGATCACCTCATCAATTCGGGTGAGGCAAAAAAGAAGTGTGTCTCTTGGTGTGTATTTGTATAAGAGAAGAATTTCCTAAGAGAAGAATTGCAATTGCCAGCTATGATAGTGGATTTCCCATTTCTTTTTTAAAAAAATTTACATATGAGAGAGAAAGAGAGAGAGAGAGGGAGAGAGGGAGGGACTGAGAGAGGAGACACAGAATCTGAAGCAGGTTCCATCTCTGAGCTGTCAGCTCAGAGCCCGATGCAGGGCTCGAACTCACGAACCGTGAGATCATGACCTGAGCCAAAGTTGGATGCTCAACCAACTGAACCACCCAGGTACCCCTATTTCCCATTTCAATTCTGCTTTTACTTCATTTATTTTGAAACTCATTACTGTGTGCACCCAATTTCAGAAGTGCTATGCCTTCTTGGTCAAATATTCCCCTTATACTTATGCAATGTCCCTCTTTATCCTTGACAATATTCCTTGCTCTGAAATCTACTTTGTCTTAAGCTTCCAGAGTCACTCATTCTTTTGATTATTGTTTTCATGGTGTATCTTTTTTCCTCATTTCCTCTTCTTCATAGCCCCTGGGAATCACTAATCTACTCTCTGCCTGTATGGATTTGCTTATTGTGGACATTTCATATTAATAAAATATACGTGGCTTTTGTATCCATCTTCTTTCATTTAGCATAATGTTTTCAGGTTCATCCATGTGGTAGCATGTATCAGTACTTCTTTTTTTATGGCTTAATAATATCTTATTGATGTATACCACATTTTGTTTATACACTCATCCACTGATGGACATTTGGGTTGTTTCTACTTTTTGGTTATTTGGAAAATAGTGCTATGGACAATCATATACAAATTTCTGTGTGAACATATGTTTTCAGTTTCCTAGGCTATATAGCTGGGAGTGATTTGCTACATTATATGGCAACTTGGTTTAACTTTTTGAAGGAACTGCCAGACTGTTTTCTACAGCAGCATCACCATTTTACATTACCACCCGCAATGTATGAGAGGTCCAATTTTTCCCCATCTTTGCCAACATCACCTTTACTTTTGAAAGATTTTTTGCTAAGTACAGAATTCTAGGTTAACAAGTTCACTGCCCCTTGTAGTACTTTTTAAAGATGTTGCTCCTTTATCTAGTGGCTTGTAAAATTTCTGATGAGAGGTTGGCTACCATTCTATTTGTTCCTATATACATGTTTTTTTCCCAAACTTTCTGTTTCTCCCTTTTTCACTGGTTCTCAGCAATCTTATTATGGTATATGTTGGTACAGTTTTCTTCATTTTTCCTTTACTGGCAAGTTGGTAAGATTTTTGGTTCTGTGGATTTACTGTTTTCATCACATTTGGATAGTTTGGTCTTTATTGTCCAAATATTTTTTTCTGATCAGCCCCCTCCTTTAGGATTAAGCTTGCATATAGATAGATAGATAGACAGACAGACATATATCTGGGAGTATATGTCTATAGATATATAGGTATACATATATCTATGTCTATATAGATATATCTATATAGATATAGATATAGATATGTATAATATAACTTGATATTGCCCTACAGGTCACTGATGTTTTCTTATTTTGTCTTTGTTTTTTCAGTCTTTCTTCTCCCTTTATTCTGTATAATTTCTAATGTTTTATCTTCAAATCCAACGCACTTCCTTTTTAGTATTTATATGCTGTTAACCAAGCCATTTGGTGAATGTTTCATTTCACATGTTTTATTTTCATCTCTCATAGTCCGAGTCTTATTTACACCTTCCATTTCTATTCTCATCCTGTTTCTGTTTTTCTCCACCGTCTTAAACATAACAGAGTGTATTAGTTTCCTATTACTGCATAACAAATTACTACAAATCTGATAGCTTACAATAATACAAATTTATAATCTCACAGTTCTGTAGGTCAGAAATCTGAGCGTGGTATGGCTGGGTTGTCTGCTCAGATTCTTCACCATGCTGAAATCAAAGTGTCAGCATAGACTGTGATAGTCACCTAAGGTTTAGGGTCCTTTTCCAAGCTCACTAGTTTTTTGGCATAATTCACTTCCTTGAAAGTTTATGACTAAGCTTCCTGTATTCTTCTTGGCTGTGGATTAGGGACTGCTCTCAGCTTCTAAAAGCTAGCTGCAGATCCTTGCCATATGGTTCGCTTTGATGCTTTCCTTCTTTTAAAGGATTTACCTCATTAGGTTGGGCCCACTCACACTCAAAGGGAGGGGATTATACACAATGTATATAGGTCAGTGAGTGAGAATTTTCAGGACCATCTTAGAATTCTGCCTACCACGTACAGTATGTAATTATAATATTTGTTTAACATCCTTTTCTGCTAATTTTATTATCTATGTCATTTCTGGGTCTGTTTTGCATGATCATTTTTATGCCTGCTTATAGGTAATATTTTATACTCTTTTATTTAAACAATTTTTTTTGAACTGGTTGATAGACATTGTGATTTTTATATTGCTGAATGCTGAATTTTACTGTATTCCTTTAGATGTTGTTAGGCTTTGTTCTGGGATACATTTAGGTTATTGGAATCAGTAGGATCTTTTCGATACTTTCTTTAAAACATTAGAAAAAATTTACATTTATTTATTTTTGAAAGACAGAGAAGGACCAAGCATGGGCAGGCGAGGGGCAGAGAAAGCACGAGACACATAATCTGAGGCAGGCTCCAGGCTCTGAGTTGTCAGCAGAGCCCGACCCAGGGCTCAAACCCATGAACTGTGAAATCATGACCTGAGCTGAAGTCAGACGCTTAACTGATCGAGCTACCCAGGTGCCCCATATTTTCTTTTAAATTTTAAGGTGAATCCAGAGAAAGGACTAATTTGACTCAACTATGCAAGAAATACCTATTTGATGTTTCCATGTTTTATGACTTCCTACCATTCTGGCTGGTGCAAACATAAACTACTCAGCCCCCTGTAAGCTCCAGCGATGATTCTGACAATCCTTCCTGCTACCTCTTTGCCTAACCTTACATGGTTTTCTTAAACATATTTGTAGATCAGCCAAGAATCAAGGTGGTTTCCTTCAAATTTCTGGAAAGTTCTCTGTGCAGATCCTTTCTCTCTGGTATTTTGCCCCATAAATTCTAGCTGTTGGAGACTTTTAAACTCCAAATTCTATCTTCTGAACTTGAGACCATAGCGCTGTTTGTTTTCTCTCTTCCTATGTTTCTGCCTGGAGACACCTAGTCCATATGGTAGGGCAACCATAGGATTTGCTTCCCTTCTCTAAAGGAGAAGAATGTCCTGTGCTGCATGTTGTACAATGTCTCAAAACTGCCATTTTATATAATTTTTCACTTTGTAGTTGTTAAGAGGGGAGGGCATATCTTGTCCCTCCTAATTTTTCTGGTACGAAAATGGATGTCCATCCTCACCCACTTTGTATCTTTTTCTCTCACTCTCCTTTTCCTCTTCATTTCACAAGGTGAAATACAGGACCATTTTGGAAAATAACTTAAAGCAGAAATGAAGATTTAAAAAGAATTTAAAACTTGGAAAAAATAGGCTGTTGAGTAACTTTTCATGCAGTAATGCAAGAATAAAAAAATAAAATATAAGAATTAGCTTTATAGGATATAGAATTGATACTGATTAGGTCTCTAATACCATATATTTACCTCCCCTGCTCTCTTTTTAATCTTTCTAATTTATCAATATTCTATCTCAAGATAAAGAAATAGGGACAAAGGGGAGGAAATTAGAAATAAAATGAGCCACTGATCAAAGAACTGCCACACAGAGGGGAAATGAAGGAAGATGTGCGGAAAGATTCTGGCAATATACCAGAGTCAAAGAAATCAAAATATCTTTAAAAAGACCACCTCCTTCTTTCAAATAGAACATTTCTCTTTAAAATAAAGGCAGTACTGATGTGGAAGGTTAGTCTAAATGCAAACTTTGTCTATACGGCCTTAACATAAGGTCGAGCAATAGCAAACTACGGCCCATGAGCTAAGTCCTGTCTGCTGCATATCCTTACAACGATGCTGTACGAAATCTTAGCTATGAGCACCACTGAATGCTGAGCTCTAGAAGTCCTTCTAATAAATTCTAAAATATAGGGGTGGTACTGGGGACCTCCTTATTTTCTTTGTTTTATATTCTATTTTTCAGGATAATGTCTAAAAACCTGATTTTCCTACTATGAAAGTTTGGCCCTTATTTAAGTGGTTTCACTTTAAGTGGCCTTTTCCTGTACATATAACCAGTAAGTTCATCGATCTAATGACTCTTTCCTGCTTCCTTTCTTCCACTTCATGACTACATAACCTTGAGACTTTACCTTAGAGACCAAAGGGCTTCTTTGGTCAAAAGAAGCCACTCTGGACATTAGCCCACCCATCTGGTATTATTCTTAAACATTAGTTTATATCTCTTATCTCTGGAAATCATAAATTCCATAGTATTCCTTTACATGACTACCTTTAAACTGAATAAAGTGGGAATATGCTTTCATGAAATTAACAAAAAAATCAGCAGGCTCTTAAAAATATCTAGGGACAGATAAATTGGTGTTAGTGAGACGTTCAAGGTACTTTTTACATGAACCTTGGTTTTAATACTGTTATTCATAGTGGTTTCCTTAACTGTTTTCCAAAGTCAGTGATTTTTCCTGAAACCTGTACTGCCTATTGATAACAACAGAAGTCTTCTCAGATTTGTCAAACAAAGATGATTCTAAAAATCTTAGGAATTTTAAGGTATAGATGTGAGATTCAGTGTTACTGAAGTAATTACCTTAGTAATTTTTTCTTGTGATGGCTGTGTGATTAAGAGAAACAAAGGAGAAAAATACACAACAAATCCTCAGGAACAAGCAACATTCATTTGTACCCATTTTTTTGAAACCTCAAACCCACTGAGAAATTTTGAGTTAAAGTCTGTCAACATATATCATCACTATAATTAGGCTCTTATGCACAAGAGCCAATCATTTACGACAACTAAACATGAAACGTATTAAATTTATAACCTATGTTTACCCTGAGCCCTTTCATTTTATTCTGACTCATGTGAATTCTATGAACAGAGACAATGTAAAAATGATTCATTAGGAAATATGATTTTTCCAATCTATACACAATATCTTATTTTCATTTATAATTTTAAGTAGTTTTAAAAATCATTTAAGGAATCACTTTAGTGCTCAGTTTAAAATATCTTCATTTTCTTCATTCACTTTTCTAAGGAAAAGTAATAGGAATGCAATCTGATGTGCACTGTACCTTTAAATGACTGCTGGAGGCAACATCATGTAAGGGCAGAATCCCACCTAGATTTTCACAATTAACATTAGCACCAGCTTTTAACAACTCTACAATTATATCATTAGATCTCTTACTAGATGACTCATGGAGTGGTGTCCAACCTAAAAAAAGGAAAAAAGAAAAAGCCAAACAAGCTACTGCTTAAAAATCAACATCCATGTAATATCTCCATTCTTAAGTTTATTTGCACTAATGTAATTAGTATCTATATTGATTCAAATGTATACACTAAGCATCAGACAAGAAATTATACTGAAAACCGTGACCTTAAAATGTGTTTCATTTTGGGGGCGCTTGGGTGGCTCAGTCAGTTAAGCATCTGACTCTTTGTTTTGGCTCAGGTCATGATTTCAACGTTCGTTTGAGCCATACATCCAAGCCCTTGCATGGAATTCTCTCTCTCCTTTTCATTCTCCCTCTCTCTCTGCCCCTCCAGCTCTCTCTCTCTCAAAACTTAAAAAAATGTGTTTCATTTTTGTCAACAAATTGATCTCGGGAAAAAGTATTTCTTGATACAAGGGTCAAAGAAAAGACTCAGAGAACATAAAATATAATGGGACTAAATTTTTTCACCTCAGATATTAAAATAGAGTACGATCATGTCTGAATTTCTCATTTGTATCACTGCATTGTCACTTATGTCTTTAAAATGATATATGATTCTTGAAGTCACCCTCTGAGTTTATCCCTCTGTTAATTCCTCACACGATGTTTGTGCTTGAGCAAAATGTTAGAAGATCAATTTAAAAATGGAGGCTTAAAATTAAAATTAACAAAGAGAGACAAAAGGAACTATGTAAAGAGAGGGGAAAGAGAAGGGACAGGGAAATGGGAGAAAATTGGCATTCTCTCCAAAGTGAGAGAACAGTATTAAGGTCTCTAAGGAAAAGGCCTAAATAAAGCTCCCCTTACTCCCCATTCTGTATACTCCCTCTGAATGCTCCCATATGTATGTTAGAAACTGCTTCAGAGGAGGTTATTTTAGCAACTAGAGAAAACCAAGATAAATTTAACTATTCAACTAAATAATATATTATAAAAAAGAAAGTTCAAAGTTAGCAGCCAGGATCAAAATTGGGAGGGGGGATGAAATGTGTAGTTCAGTGAGTTCAAGTGATAAAGACAATTAAAATTTAAAGAATCCAAACCTGCATTATCTTTTACATTCACATCTGCTCCGGATTCTATTAGAGCCTTCACCAGAGACAAATTTCCTCTTGTGGCAGCCAAATGAAGCCGGCTTTCCCTTCTGGAATGCCTCTTATTGATTCCAGCTGTTTTCATTTCTGAAAATTTGCCAAGCAAAACTGAGGCTTCTTTTCTGCCAAATGCTGATTATTACAAAGGAGCTTAGAAAATACAGAGCAACTTCCTTAAAATATCCTAAGTAGGGTACACTATACAAAGCATACATCGATATCATCGCTATTACTGTTTTAAAATGTAACTTGTGGAGAAATTGTAGAGCATCTAAGCACATTACTTTGCATTCATTCTAACAGTTACTCAGTCACTCAATAAGATTAAAACAAACTTACTACAGTTCTACACTCCTCTCATTCTCAGTAGTCCTGTAATAATGGATAACATTTTTCTTAAAACAAATTGTGATTTTATAAAACTCCTCTATTCTCTATCTCAGTGAGTGTCTTTCTGATCACAAAAGATGCCAAAAACCTAATTATGGCCTATTGACTGGTTTTTCTTCCATAAAGCATGTAGTACAATATCATTATCCAAAGATTTTAAAATATATTTATTTATTTTTGAGAGAGAAAGAGGGTGTGTGTGTGCATGAGCAGGGGAGGGGTAGAGAGAGGGAGGGAGAGAGAATCCCAAGCAGGCTTTGCACTGTCAGAGCAGAGCCTGATGCAGGGCTCTAACCCCAAGAACCATGAGATCATGACCTGAGCCAGAGTCAGGAGTCAGACACTTAACTGACTGATTCACGCAGGTGTCCCCAAAGATTTTTAAAAGTCTTTTCTTTGCACAAGTTAGAAAGACCTAAGTTGGAGCGAAAACACACAAACCAACAACAACAAAACAAAAGAATCATATTTCCTTCTTAATTTCTTCCCTAAACCATGTTAAAATGATGGTAAAACGTTTTTTTAAATACCATATAAGGACAAAAGAAGAGGAAACAATGGAGGACAGAGGCGTCAACAACTTTTTGGGAATCAGAAAATTAGTGACAGAGAAGAGTTAACTGACTTGGTAGACTGAGGGAAATGACTCAACCCAAATGGCTGCAAAAAGAATTATAGAGAAAGAGAGTCCACCTGAAACCCAGCACTTGAGGACATCAAATACCATGGAAGGCAGGGTGCATGCAACTGGGCTAGAAGTGCAGAGATTGACTGAAAAAAAAAAAAACAAAAAACAAAACACCATATATAGAAAAGTTGGGAATCCAAGTTCCCTTCCCTAATCCTGTAGTGTCTGGCAACCATTCCTCTTACCAAGGTCCCCATCCCCAAGCCAGGTAACTGGAGGTTATTTTCTGTAGAAATTGTATCAGAGAAGCTTCAGAGTGAGACATAAGGCAAAGTTGAGGTTTAGAGTGATGAAACAGAAAGGATATTCATTATACCAGTAGTTCTCAAATGTAGTCCCAGATTAGCAGTTATCAGTATGACCTGGGAAATGTGTTCAAAATGCAAATTCTCCAGCCCACTCCAAAAGCCTACGGTAGAGGGCAGACTTTAAGATAACTCCTGGGGAGCTTGGGTGGCTCAGCCAGTTGAGTGTCAGACTCTTGATTTCTGCTCAGGTCGTGATCTCAAGGTTGAGACACTGAGCCTGTTTGGGATTCCCTCTCTCCCTCTCTGCCCCTCCCCTGCCTGCGCATGTGCTCTCTTTCAAAATAAATTAACTTAAAAACAAAACAAACACAAAACTTCTAATGATCCCCATCTCCTGGTATTTATGGCCTTGGATAATCCCTTCCTCTTGAATAATTTGCTTCTAACCAATAGAAGACCTCAATATCAAGGGTATATTTCATTCCCTTCATTAGGCTACAAGAGACTAACATTTTCTGTCTTGCTAGCAAATTTGCTCTATCACCTTCAACTTGCATGTTTTGATGAACCAAGTGGACATGCTGGAAAAACTCATGAAGGAAGAAACTGAGGATGACCACAAACTGGCCACAACCCTCAAGGAACTGAATTCTGACAACCACCACATGAGCTTGAAAATGGCTCCTTCCCTTGTTGAGACATCAGATGAGACCTGTCTTGGCCAACAGCTTGTTTGTAGCCTATAAAATAAACTGAGCAGAAGACCTGCTTAAGCCATACCCAATTCCTGACCTGCAGCAACTATGAGGTTGAAAAATGTGTGTTGTTTTAAACTAAGTTTGTGAATTTGTTATATACTAAGAGAGAACACACCTAATAAATCAGATGTTTTGAGGCTAGAGTCCAGCAATATGTATTTTAATAAGCTTTTCAGGTGATTTTGATGCAGGATAAGGTTTGCAAACCATTGCTTTAAACCTTAAGACCCTCTCCCTGCTCCATTTCCTAAATGGCAGCAAGAGGATTCTTTGATTATATGAATCACAGTAATAGTAACAGCCTCATGGCTATCTTCCACTGACGTCCAGACAAAATCATATTGCTCTTCAGAAATTTGTGCTCAGTGGGGTGCCTGGGTGGCTCAGTCAGTTAAGTGTCTGACTTCGGTGCAGGTCACGATCTCAAGATTCGTGGTTCTGAGCCCTGCGTCGGACTTTGTGCTGACAGCTCAGAACCTGGAGCCTGCTTCAGATTCTGGGTCTCCCTCTCTCTCTGCCCCTCCCCTGCTCATGTTCTCTCTCTCTCTCAAAAATAAACATTAAAAAAAAGAAGAAGAAATTTGCACTCAGGAATTCTTTACTGGAACAATAAAGACATTTTATGTCTATTATATATATTCAATATTTTATATACATATATAGAGAACATATTTTAAAATTATGAAATACCCAAAATGGCAGACCTGCAGTTTTCAAGTTTGAACTGAAAAATCTCTCCCAGTCATTGTTACTGTGAATGGTCCAAATCTTCTCACCTTGTTCTTTGTGTTATAGCAAAGGAGGTAGGCACATAATAAACATTTTGGGGCAAAAACTCTAAAATTCTTCAAAGTTATTGTCATCATAAATTTCTACACCATGTAACTAAAATTTTAAAATAAAATCTGGAAAAAAAAACTAGAAAGGAAACAAAGAGGACTCAATTTAAACTTGTAAAAAAACTTCATAAAGTCAACTGTTGTTAATACTGAGTACTTTTTAATAGCATTATACTTTATTAATAAATTAATAAATATTAATAATTATTAAAAATATAATATTGAATACATGGTATTAAGATTTATTTTTAGTTTGTGAGTTGGTTTTTTGAGAGTGAGTAGGGGAGGGTCAAAGAGAACAGGAGAGAGAAAATCCCAAGCAAGCTCGTGCTGTCAGTGCAGAGCCCGACACAGGTCTCGAACCCACGAACCATGAGATCAAGAGTTACCTGATCTGTAAACAGGAGTCGGAGGCTTAACCAACTGAGCCATCCAGCCACCCCAATAATATTATTTATTAATAAAGTATAATGCTATTAAATACTCAGCTTTCAGTTACTTTGTATGTGATCTATTCTTTACTCTCTGGAAGCTCAAGATCCTTAATTATATCTGCAGAGATTCTTTTTCTAAATAAGAGAATATTCACCTCTATATAAAATAATATCACAGGTTCCAGGGATTAAGACATGGACATGTTTTGGAGGACCACTATTCAACCCACCACAGGAGGGATGTCCAGGGATTAAGACATGGACATGTTTTGGAGGACCACTATTCAACCCACCACAGGAGGGATGTATAAGGTCTTTAGATTACACAAGAGAGGGACAATGGGACAAGGTTCTCAGAGAATGCCTAATCCAGTGTCCTTCCTACCTCTTAAGAAACAATAGACAAATGAACTTTTCAGTGTTTAATATTTAACCTGAAGTGGCTTGGCTCAGCCTATTGTTCACCACAGCCTTATCTCCAAGGACCATCAAAAGAGAGTTAGCTTGTCTATATTGCCAAGCACACACAGTTCATTCATCTGACAAAATGAAAACCAGTGGCTACTCTTTAATTTCCCTTATGCTGAAAGGGCTCTCTGGAAGCTGTTAAGTGATCTGGCACAGTTCAGATGTGCTGCCCCCACTCAATATCATTGCTGTCTGTTTATTTTACCTCCTCTAACATTTCAAGTTAAAAGTCTTAGGCAGAAATATGACAAGAATGTATCTGAAGACTAATGGATTCTCAAGTGGCACTTTATAGTAAAACCATCTGATAAATATAGCTGAAGTAATCTTACAACCTAGTGAATGAGAAAAAAAATCAACCGTAAATGTGAAAGTTTAGCAATTCTCTGAAGTAGAGTGGATTGCTGGGATTGATCATGTCAACTTTTACCTAGACAAGATAGAAATACAAACCTTGGCTGCAGGTAGCTTTCAAAAAATTTTGTCTTTTTCTCAAATTCCGGACTTTTTTGTGTTTCTGGATACCAGTAGACATTTGAATTTCAGAATCTGTTTTTTCTTTTTTCTCACTGTTTCTCACAGAGTTTTCATCTCCATTGATATTAGTTAATTTCTCACCTGCAAACCAAACATTTTGCAACATACAGTTCTCCTTACTAGCTACATGATTAGAAAAGAGTCTGGTCACATAACTGTTCCAAGTTTCTGTTCCTACCTGGACTGGGGTGGGTGTGTGTGTGTGTGTGTGTGTGTGTGTGTGTGTGTGTGTGTGTGTGTGTGTGTTTTAAGGGAATGAAAGTCTTAAAAAATGTTTTTAGGGGTGCCTGGCTGGCTCAGTCAATAGAGTATGTGACTCTTGATCTCAGGGTTATGAATTTGAGCCCCAGGTTGAGGACAGAAATTACTTAAAAATAAATTCTTAAAAAAGTATACCTTTATATAACAAAGTGTGCTGGATACAATACTTACAGGAATACAGTGAACCACTGAAATCAAATGAGCTAACGATTTCCTGCTATAGAAACTTCTATAAATTATTAACTTCTATAAACATCAATTATCAACAATCTTTGATGATAATAGTTTGATTTTCAAGTCAACAATATTACTTAATTAATAGTATCCCTAAATTATACTCTACATGTCCTGATTCTGGTCAGTTTGGGCATAAGATGAGTGGAATTCAGTTAGAAATTTCTATCAAATAAGTAAATCTATTGGAAATGTGTACTAATCAAGAAATATTATTAATACCTGGTATATGAGAAATTTCTTTCTCTTCTTTTTGTCTAAGTTGTGAGACATTGGTCAATTCCTTATTAATATTGTCGGCAGAATAAAAAATTGTATTATGTATGGTTTTGTTCTCTGGAATATCTTGTTTCCTTTTTTCAACTGTAGTTGTTTCTATTACATGAGAATTAACAACTGCAGACAAAGGCCCTTTGGAAGAACTTGGTTTTTGACTTTCATCGTTGTAATCCCTTTTAGCGTCTTCTCCCTCATTTACCTTTTCCACAGTACGCGTATCTGTTTGATCCATTAAAGGATCTTGAGGCCTTTTGAATAGCTCCACATGACTAGTCAACTTTGAAGTTCCCTGTGTTGAAAATGTTCCTGGACAAAGCTCTGGACTGCCATGTGAATGATCAAAAGAAGTTTCATATGTGCATCGTCCGTAATTTGCAACATGTTGTTCAGGACCTATTGTATTATCTGACTCAGAAAAATCAACAGCTTCCTGTTGTGGAAATATGGTTAGACTGCAAGCTTTTAACTTATTTTCCTGTGAAATACAGTCTTCAGAAGGGAAAACCTGTTGAAAATCCATTTCTTCTCTATTTGTTATATTCTTTTCACAATTATAGTGGTTTGTGCAACCCGTAGAACATACCACTTTTTTAGGTGTTATAGTCTTCTCAGAGATATAGCAATCATCATCATCACTAAGATTTTCCTTTATAAAGGATGCGAAAGAATTCTCCCACTCATTAAGGTTCTCACCTTTTTGACCCAAGTTACTATTTTCATGAGAAAGGCTAATGTGCTGTTGTTCTTGGTGAGTGTCAGGCTGCTGCTGTGTAGTAACAAGTGGTAACTTGATTTCTTTCTGTAAGGAAAGTCCTGAGAAAAAAACAGCTTCAGCTCCATGAGTGGATTCCAAGCATTTTGTTTCCTGATTATCTGATAAATCCAGGCTGTGGATATGTGTCTCTTTGAGAACTGAACAAGCCTCCATACTACTACCTAATCCATTTTTCAGGCTTGATGGAGCTAGGCTAAAAAGTTTATGTGACTGTTCTGGAAGGTCAGCAAAGCCTTGGAGAATATCTTGTTGACCAGTAACCAATCTATTTATTCTTCTGGAAGAAGAAACAGCGACTGTCTTTCTTGGAATGTGTTCTTGTTTTGCATCATCCACTTGAGTTCTTTTATGCCATGTGTTTCTTCTTCCTCTGGCTTTAGACACATTTGTGCTAGGACCTTTGATATCCTGGAGACTGTCTTTTCTGAGTCCTCTAATAGAGTGTATTTGGTTAAGAGCTGATTGCTTATGCATGGATTTACCAAATTTTGTGTCTTTGGAATCTCTTCGGTAATGTTCATATACATCTTTATTTATAAATAAACCTTCTTTGCTTCCTTTATCAACTTTTACATCTTCTGATTTCTGTCTGTTGGAATTTTCATCACAAACAAACCCAATGAGATTTTTAGAACTGAATTTTGGTTTCTAAAGAAAGAAAACATATAGTTAGCTTTAATTTTCCGCTGTAGCTCTATATTCAATTAACTCAGAATTGTTATAAATGAAATCATTATGCCATTCAATTTTATGATTTGATCTAAACACAGCACCTGATGGCATATATATACAAGGTCGTATTTCAAAAAAGGATTAACAGAAAAAGGGAAATGTAGTAGATTAAGACTCATTATGTGTACTAATCCATATTTTTTGGTTCACATTTTGTTTTTGCCAGTATTCAGCACTGTTCCTCTTATTAGGCATAATTCAAAATTTAATCTACTTAATTTTTATAGGCTTTAAACATAACCAAATGAAAATGCTTTATAAATATTCTCCTCTCCCAATTGTTATACAGATAGAGCTAGAATTGAGAGTTTTTTCATTTAGTATCTGACAGACTATAGGTAGGGCAGGAAAAGAAGGGATTTAAAAACATGAAGATAGCCTGGGTGGCTCAGTCGGTTGAGTATTAGACTCCTGATTTCGGCTGAGGTCATGATTCCAGGGTTGTGGGACTGAGCCCCATGTTGATCCCATGCTGAGTGTGGAGACTGCTTAAGATTCTCTCTTCCTTTGCCCATCTCCCCTGCTGGCATTCTCTCCTTCTCTCTCAAAAAAAAATAAAAATAAAAATAAAAACCAACCAACGAACCAACCAAAAAAACCCCAAAAAACAAACAAAACAAAACAAAACCCAAGAAGGCAGATAGGCTCCCAAACCAATCTGCATGAAAAAACTGTTGTGGCCTGCTAAGATTAAAACAGGGACACTGCTTCCTCTCAGTCACCACAAACCAAGCCCCAAATGAAGAGTAATGGCCCACAGTATAAAGTTTGAAGGAATGGGTTGACATCTCTGGCCAGAAGAAATTTGACATGGATGATAAACCCCATGGCTCCATGAAGAGGAGGAAAAAGGAAATGGCTATTGACACATCAGTGTGCCAAAATATGCTACCTTTACTCAACTGCTTCCTGAATAACAGCCCAGAACACTGATTCTCACGTAACTATTCCAAAGTTTCTTAAAAGCAAGGTGAAGTCACTGTTCCTGATGAATGCTTTAGCCATCTTTCTTTCCACTCTGATAATCTATAAAATGGGTAGCGTGTGCAATCTATAAAAATGTTTACTGCTAAACAGCGCTATACCTTGTGCTGGTGTACATCCTCTATGTCTGATAGGTCAGTGCTGTTCTTTTGAGCTGTAAACAAAAAGAGAAAATCAAAGAAAACAGCCCCCTGTAGTCAGACTCTAGACTTCTAAAACCCACAAGTCCTTTGCCATGAGAAAACCAGAGGATAAGTGAAATTATGCAAACATTTTCCATTCAAATTGGCACATATAACATTCCTATAACTAATATCTTTCATATTTATTAGAAACCCCATACTATCTTGAGAAAGCTGAAAATATTTCTGTACGAAAAGCAATATGGCCCCAACAAAATAACAACAAAGACGGGCAATGAACTATTTCTATATTTCCCATAGATATATACAGATATGGAGCTGTCAGCAAACTACTTTTATATAGCAAAAAATTATTTCATAATTAACTGGATTATCATTTCCTAATATGTCTGCTTAATAAGGTTCTAGTCTGAATGCTTTGTTCTCTTAAAAATGAAACATACATGCATAGAAAAGGCCAGTCTTGAGAATGCATAAGAAAAAAAAAAAGATGGCTTAATAAAATATACCTAGGTTGATAATAAAAGTACTTTAGTGTCTCTTTTAAATCCTAGAGGTGGAATTAGTTACCTATATATACATTTGGCCTCAAAAGACAAAAGCCTAGAAACAGTGCCTTGTATATAGGAGGTATTCAATCATTATCTAATAGAAGAAGGAATAATGAATGAACGTCTTAGGTGTGATATGTAAACAATTTAAAATTCTTTAAATACACTAGGAACTAGAAATATATATATATAAATATATATATATATAAAAATATAAATAAAATAAAAATATTTTAACAGGGATGTAACTGGAAAAAAGAATATTTTATTTCTTGGGAATAATTTTCATGATAGCAATCAACTTACAACGAGCATAATGAGGCCTGGCATTCACCTACTCACCTCATACAGAAGACAGTAGGTTCATAGGAGGTCCTTCAATGAAGCAAACAGGCTTGGAGCACAGTCTCTGGAGGCTACTCCTGAGTTTCTATCTTTACTCATTTGCTTAGCAGCTGGGTGACCCTGGGTAAGTTTCTTAATATCTCTGCCTCAGTTCCATAAAATGAAGGTAGTAATCGTCCCTATCTTACAGAATTGTTGGATAAGACAGCAAGAAAATATTTCACAGGAACCACCATTTTGGGCATGGTTCCTAAGAGAATCTGGAAGCTAGAAAGGGGCTTTAATCTCCTCTCAGTTTCAAGAGTCTATATGCTCTAGTATAACCAATTTAACAAAAAAATCTATACAGGTATCAATTCTGAGGTGGTGAATGTTGGTGATGTAGCTGTAATTTTTTTCACTCTGTTATTCCTAGCTTCTGTCATATGTAAGGTACTGTACTGAAGCATCTTACATACATCAACTCTAATCCTCACAGTAACAATCCCACAGGTATCTAAGTAGAGGAGCAGGTATTAGAAGCCCAAATTTACAGATGAGAAAACTGAGTGTTAATATACCTCAGGCTATAAAGTTACTAAGAATGAACTCCTGTCCTATACCAAAGAAGATGTATTCTACTCTAAGAAAACCACCAAATATTATTGCATGAGGGAGGTTTTTTTATCCATCATTCCCATAACTAAAAGCTATTCAACTCAAATTTAAAAACAGAAACTCTCAACTAGTTTTTTCATTTATATTGATAAGTCAGCTAATAATTAATGACAGACTTCAAAACTTCAAACAAGAAATATTCAAACCACCTACTAAAGCATGATAACACAGCCCAGCTTCGTAAATTCCCTCACCAAGGAATAATGGAAGCTAAATCCTAAGAAAAAAGGCTTGGGATCCTTTTCCATGAATGAAATTCCCTTGGGGAGGTGTAGGTCAGAAGTGGGCATTAGTGAATGGGAGATTCTGGATTTGGAGAAAGGGCTATAATGCTGGAGAAAGCACTCTCAGAAAAGCAAAACAATGTATGCTATTAAAATAGAGCAGTAAAGAAATTAAGCAGATTATCAAAGCAAAAACTTAAAAACATACATGCTTTTGCCTCCAACTGAATATGTGCAATTTTCCACATAGCTGGAAATGTAAATATAAGTGCAATAATTTATCTCAATGAATGGAAGCATGAATAATCTATCTCAATGTGCTTTTACAGACCTGGCCTCAACAAGGTGTAGTCTGTCCCTCTTATTTTCTGATGAGACTGGGCTACAGGGGAAGGAGTGTTTTGTTCTAAAGAACCATTAACTAATTGCCTCTTGGTGGCCTTTAATTCTCAATGAAGTTATCTTGTTATTATAAAGTAGGGTGTTGGGGTGCCTAGGTGGCTCAGTCAGCTGAGAGTCCAACTCTTGATTTTGGCTCAGATCATGATTCCAGGGTCTTGGGATCCAGCTGTCAGGCTCCATGCTTAAGATTCTCTCTCTCTCTCTTTCTCTGCCCCTATCCACCACTTGTACTCTCTCTCTCTCAAAAAATAAATAAATACTGCTTCTCGGCCTTTTGGCTAAGATCAAATGTAAAAAAATAAATAAATAAAATAACATAGGGTGTTTTCATCCAAGTCTTAGTTCTTTGTCAACAGCATTCAAATAGTTACCTCTTAGGGAAAATGTTATTAACATATAGTTTGGTAAAAGTGAATGAAGCACACATACAGCTCCTGAAGGTAAAGACTTTATTTTGTTTGCTTTGTTTAAAAGGACTGACACACTACTTATTCAACAAATATTTACTCAACGCCTACTGGGTACAAGGCACTTAAGTATTCATCACCAGACTAAACACAAATCCTTTCCTTCATGGAGCTTAGATTCTGGTGGGGGAAGACTGAAAATAAAAAATAAACAAATTGTCCAATGTGTTAGAAGGTGTTAAGTGCTACGGAAAAGGGATAAATAGAAGAGTAATATAAAGTAAGGATTGGAGTGTGGCAGTTTGAAAAATATGTTCATAAAATTTTTGGTATTTCCTCCTTTCAAAAGGTGGAACTTCGTAGACTTAGTGACTTACTACAACAAATAGAATATGGCATAAGTGCTTCCAAGATTAGTTTATAGAAAGCTTGGGGCCTCTGTCTTGGGTGCATTCTCTCTTAGATCACTTGCTCTGAGCCAGCTACAAGGCTGTCAGCAGCTCTATGGAGAAAGCTCCGGTGGCAAGTAATTGAAACCTCCAGCTAATGAGCAGTGAGGCAATGAGGCCTGCCGATAACCAGGTGAATGAGCTTCAAAGTGGATTTTCCTGCCCTAGCCGAGCCTTGTGATGACCATTCCTCACTAAGAGCTTGGCTGCAACCTGTAAGAGACACTGATTCAGAACTGGTTACTCAGTTAAACTGCTTCCAGACTTCTACTCCTCAGAAACTGTGAGAGATAATACGTTTGGTATTCTGAGATGCTAAATTTCGGGTAACTTGCATAGAGATAGGTAACTAATATGGTGAGGGTGGGAAAGAGGTAAGGTTGCAGTATTAAATAGGATGGTCGAGGTCTCCCTGAGAAGATGACATTTAAACTAAGACTTGAAGGAGGTGGAAGAGGCATATTTGAGAAACAGCAAGGAAGCCAGTGTGACTGAAGCTGAGAGACAGAGGTAGAGAATGGTAGAAGTTAACTGGTTGGGTGGCCAGCTCATATAGGGGCCTGTATGCCACTGTAAGGATGCTGACATTTCTTCTAGATTAAATGGAAAGCCACTGCAGGGTTTGAGCAGAGGAATGCTGTGATCTTACCAAAAAATTTAACAGATGCATTAAGGAGAATATAAAGCAAGTGTCATGCATGTAAATTATTCTTATAACCTTGTTATTGACAACTATAAATCAAGTTCTTTGGTAGTTCAATTTTTAACAGTGTAATGGATTACAGGGCAAAAATATAACCATAGAAGAAGATTCTTAGGGGATGGAAACAAAAACAATCCTGACCATACTCACCGAACTACATCATATCATGTTAGCCAAAAAACTGTCAGGGGAGTGGGGGGACCAGAACTTTATAAAAGTTTTCTTAACTTTTGTAATGCACAACTAGGAAAAAGTACCTTTGATATTATCCCTTTTTTCTCTTTGTTCTTTTGGAGTCCTTACATTATGTGCATTTGGAAACAAGTCAGTGTGCTTTACTAAAGGAATGGAGCAAGGACACCACTGGATAGACGTTCTCACAACTAAGGAGGAAAGGAAATTTAATTTCTGTAATTCTAAATTCAATTCCTGTAACTCTCTACCAACATGATGAACAGATATAACAGGCCAGTTTAATCTTACCTGATGTAAGATGTTTTTGGTGTTTAGGAATATATTTCTCAAGGAGACGCTTCATACGTGAATCTTTGGCCTCATCCAAAGCACACTTTCCATTGTCACTTCTAAGTAAGGGATCAGCTCCATTCAAAAGAAGTAACGCTGCCACCTACAGGAAGACCGTTCATGTGAGCGTGCCCAGACAAAAGGTATATTATTGCAAATGTGTGCTGGCTTACAACTCTAAGCAACATCGGATATTTCTTTCAACAAGAGAGCTTGGGTTTATCTGTAACATCTTTGCCCAATAAAAAAATTAATGCAACTTACTGAATCATAATTTGTTGATACACATATCCTTTCTCTTACAAAAATAGAGAAAAAGGGGGAAAGGGAGGGGGCAGAGAGGGAGAGGGAAGGAGGGAAAGACTGAGGGAGGAAGGAAAGATCAGAAATATAGATAGTTTAGGTGCTGGTGAAACGGATCTAGAGGTACACCGAGAATGAGGTGTCGGTTCTGTAGTAGTAAATACAAGTTTGACATGTTCCAGGAGATGGTTATGTCATCTTCCATCTGTAGCTGTGTTGCCGTTGCTCCTCCCCAGTGTCAGGGAGAAAGAAACCAGTCAATCCTTAATTGTTCCTACTCCTCAAGTTACCTCCTCATGATGCTCTCCCTGACCTCCTCATCCACTGCTGCTGCCTTTTTTTGGGTACATATTTTATCATAGTGCCCAACATATATTACACTTATTTCTTATTAATCTGTCTCTTGGGCACTCTAAGGTTGTTGAGGGTGGGACTATGTCTTTCTTTTAAAATTAATTACATATGAATAGGAAATTAATGAATATAGTTCAAAATATAGAAGACTCAGAAAAGTATACAATGAAAAATAAGTTTCCTCCTCTATCCCTGAATTTCAGTCATCTAATTTTTTTAAGTACTATAGTTTCTTCTGAATTTTTTGAGTTAATCTAGTCCAACATGTATATATGTATGTATACATACAAATATGTACAGATTTTCTTCTTACACAAGTGGCCATAGAATATATACATTCCTCTATATCTTGCCGCCCCTCCCCCAACAAAAGAGCTTAGAAATTGTACCATGTCAGTATAAAATGAACTTTCTCATTCTTTTTAGCAGCTAATAGTCTACTATTGAAAGTACTATATGAATGTACTGTATTTTATTTTATTTTTTAATTTTTTTTAATGTTTATTTTTGAGAGACAGGAGAGACAGAGAACGAGCAGGGGAGGAACAGAGAGAGGAAGACGCAGAATCCGAAGCAGGCTCCAGGCTCCGAGCTGTCAGCACAGAACCCTATGCGGGGCTCGAACCCACGGACCACGAGATCATGCCCTGAGCCGAATTGCCCAACCGACTGAGCCACCCAGGCGCCCCTGTATTTTATTTAAGTACCCTATTGACAGATGTTTAAGTTGCTTCCAAGTTTTTACTACAGGTATATGTCTTAATCATCTTTATATTCCCAGTGCCTATCTCAGTGTCTGACAAACAGTAAATATTCACTAAGTACTGTTTAATACATGAAGAATATAGGGGCGCTTGGGTGGCTCAGTCGGTGGAGCATCTGACTTCGGCTCAGGTCATGATCTCACAGTTCATGATTTCGAGGCCCACGTCGGGCTCTGGAAGCCTGGAGCCTGCTTCAGATTCTGTGTCTCCCTCTCTCTCTGCCCCTCCCCAGCTCATGCTCTGTCTCTGTCTCTCTCTCTCTGTCAAAAATAAATAAACATTAAAAAAAATTAAAAAAAAAAAAGAAGAATATAATCAGGGAGGATGTCGGAAGTAGGCTTTAAGTAACACTACAAACACTAAACAGAGCCTAAATTTCCATGTTAGTATCTGGAATGACAGAAAGGACCCAAATTTGTGTAAATTATATATACCCCCAAATTAAATATATATACATTTTTCCTTTTATAACAAAGCATTCTAGGAGTGAAAAACATAACACTACAAAGGGACAATATAAGCTAGATCCTCTAAAAATTATTAAGACTCAGCAATTCTACTTTTCAAATTATTATGAGAATTTAATATTAGATAGGGAAATAGAAAGTAATAATAGATATAATTAAACCTATAATTCATATACAAGCCAGGTAACAGTAGATAACAAATTTATGTCTGGATCTTCATGTTTTGTTCAGCAAAGAAAGCACAGAGTACACAGCTTTCTTTTAGGAAAAGAAGTTTTCCAAGGGAGTTGCCAACAGGGCTGTGCTGTTTATCTCGAGATTCTGTGTCAAATAATAATCCACGCAGTGAGGATGCACAGAAAGATGATCTCTTTTGCACTGCTGGTGAGAATGCAAACTGGTGCAACCACTCTGGAAACAATATGGAGGTTCCTCAAAAAATTAAAAACAGAACTACGCTACGACCCAGCAATTGCACTACTAGGTATCTATCCAAGGGATACAGGTGTGCTGTTCCAAAGGGGCACATACACCCCAGTGTTTACACCAGCACTATCAACAATAGCCAAAGTATGGAAAGAGCCAAAATGTCCATCAACAGATGAATGGATAAAGAAGATGTGGTATATATGTATACAATGGAGTAGTACTCGGTCAAAAAGAATGAAATCTTGCCATTTGCAGCAACATGGATAGAACTAAACGGTTTTATGCTAAGTGAAATTAGAGAAAGACAAAGATCATATCACTTCTCTCAGATGAGGACTTTAAGAGACAAAACAGATGAACATAAGGGAAGGGAAACAAAAATAATATAAAAACAGGGAGGGGGACAAAACATGAGACTTATAGAGAACTGAGAGTTGATGGAGGGGTTGTGGGTGGGGGCATGGGCTAAATGGGTAAGGAGTATTAGGAAGACATTTGTCGGGATGAGCATTGGGTATTATACATAGGAGACAAATTATGGGAATCTACTCCTGAAATCATTATTGTACTATATGCTAACTTGGATGTAAATTTAAAAAAAAAAAGCGTTTCAACATTTACCATAAAAGAAAAGAAAAACCATCTAGTGTGAGAGTGACTTAGGAACAAGGAGCATGAGAAAGAGGACTGGGAGAAAGGAAAAGGCAGGGGCTAGAACCTCACTTTCCTAGAAATCCAAGTTGGTAATTCCCAGGAAATGGATACATTACTTTGAAAGTCTCTGATTTAGACAATGGATAGTTTGCTTCACCAAATATCCACACTTACTCTTTCCCTCTCTAGCCTTAATATTATGAATTCTGCCTTACATATCCTCTAATTTGAAGCACTCTCTTCTCACCAAAAGGCAATAAATAAATGACTTTTCCTGAGTATTTCTCCCATACTTTAAACCTGCATTTAGGTTCTTTATTAGCTCTTTTTGGCTACCTAACAAATTACCCCCAAATTTAGTGGCTTGAAACAAGAATAACTATTTATAATCTCACAGTATCTGTGGATCAACAATTTGGGAGCGGCACAGGTAGGTGGTTCTGAGTTTCTCTTCTCTTCTCTTTTCTTTTTTTTTTTTTGCCAGAGTCTAGATGGGATTACTGTCATTCAAGTATTTCATAGAAACAGGAATGTAACGACTGGGTCCAGGTAGTATGAAAAAGTAAAAACACTGCAGGTTTGTACATGCTGCTCTATTTCCATCAGGAATGGGCTCCCCCGACATCAGACACAGCAGCTGTACTTGTCAGATGCGTCCTTGCAGATGCAGCCCTCAGCACACTTGGCACCGCCCACAGGGCAGCAGGAGGAGCAGCTCTTCTTACAGGGGTGCATTTGTACTCTTTGCATTTGCAGGAGCTGGCGCAGGTGCAGGAGCCCATGGTGGAGCAGGAACAGCGTGGGTCTATTTCAAGCCAAGGTGAGGGTGGAGGTCCAAAGCAGGTGACCCGGGGAGACACTGGTGGGGGCTGGAGGTCTGGTCAGAGTTATTTATGAGGATGTAGTCAAGAGGTTGGTTGGAGATATGATTATATAAAAGCTTGACTGGGGCTGCAGGATCTGTTTCTAAGATGGCTCCCTCACATGGGTGTGAGACGGAGAGGCCCTAGTTCACTGTCACAAAGACCTTTCCATAGAGTTACTTACGTGTCCTCATGATATGACACCTAGCCTCACACTTAATGACCTGAGAGAGAGAAGAGAAAACGAGGAAGAAGCTACAATACTTTTAACATAGCCTTGAAAGTCATATACTGTCACTTCTGCCACATCCTAACTGTTAGAAGCAACTCACTGACACTCCAGCTCACAATCTTGGGGAAGAGAATCAGCCTTTACCTTTTGAAAGGAGGACTATTAAAAATTTTGTGGACATATTTTAAAGCTACCACAGGTTGGGGCGCCTGGGTGGCGCAGTCGGTTGAGCGTCCAACTTCAGCCAGGTCACGATCTCGCAGTCCGTGAGTTCGAGCCCCGCGTCGGGCTCTGGGCTGATGGCTCAGAACCTGGAGCCTGTTTCCGATTCTGTGCCTCCCTCTCTCTCTACCCCTCCTCCGTTCATGCTCTGTCTCTCTCTGTCCCAAAAATAAATAAACGTTGAAAAAAAAAATTTAAAAAAAAAAAAAAGCTACCACAGGTTAACTCAAACAAGCAGAACAATTTCAGGAAGTGGCTGGCATCACAATCCTCTTTATTTGGCTGGTCAAACAATAGACTCCTTAACGAAATACAGGTAGACCTCTACTTAAAGTTTGCTTATGGATTTTCACCTCAAAGCATATTATTGAATCAAGTGCTTTCTTCCCTCTAAAATCAGCTGACTTCCTTGTGTAAGAAGCAAGTAGGACAGAGAATAAAATTCTTTTAAGTTTCTATTTAAATTCCAGTTAGTTAACATACACGTAATAGTAATTTCAGGTGTACAATCAAGTGATTCAGTACTTGCATACATCACCTAGTGCTAATCACAAGTGCACTCCTTGATCCCCAACACCTATTTAACCCACCCCCAACTCCCCTCTGGTAACCATCAGTTCTCTACAGTTAAGAGTCTGTATCGTGGTTTGTCTCTCTTTTTCCCCCCTTTGGTCATCTGTTTTGTTTCTTAAATTCCACATATGAGTGAAATCATATGGTATTTATCTTTCCCTGACTTATTTCACTTAGCATAATATTTAGAGAATAAAATATTTTCAAGTACTTGAAAAGACAGTATTTTGACTATACAGAACTAATGAAATCTGCACAAAACAGAAAAAACTACAAAAAACCCTTCATTAGTAGTTTCATTGTTGATAATAACATTGTTAACATGGATAATAATATTGTTGGTAGTAATAAGTATATTATACAATAAAGAAATAAGTAATTTTTAAGAAACAAATGTTGAGCCTAACAGAAAAAGAGACATAAGTATAAAATTAGTTAAATGTAAATGTATAATATTAAGTTTGAAATAGTAGTATCAGTATGGGGTGCCTGGGTGGCTCAGTCAGTTAAGCATCCGACTATGGCTCAGGTTATGATCTCGCAGTTTGTGAGTTTGATCCCTGAGACAGGCTCTGTGCTGACAGCTCAGATTCTGGAGCCTGCTTCAGATTCTGTGTCTCCCTCTCTCTCTCTGCACCTCCCCCCACTCACACTCTGTCTCTGTCTCTCAAAAATGAATAAATGTTAAAAAAAAAAAAAAGAAATATCAGTATGAATTAATAATTTTTCTTTCTAAAAATATGTATTTTACTGAAAATGCCTAAAAGCAATGACATCCCATAGCAATGAGCACACCTAGCACCCAGATTGTGATTTCTAAATAGACTATCCAGTTACAGACAATATAAGAAGAAACAAGCTATACAACACCACAAAAATAAAATTAGCCAAATCCAGAATTTAGGAAATTCTTTAAGACAAAAGCCAAGATTCTAGAACCCCTAAGAAAACACAAAATAGAGGAAGAACTGTTATAGGTTAAAACACACTTAAGACACACAACAAACATATGTAATATATGGACCTTGATGGATCCTGATTCAAACAAAAGCTTACTATAAAAATGCATTTTTTAGATAAACTGGGAAATTTTAATATGGACTGAATATTAAATAGTAAAAGAAACTATATTAGGTAGGATGACGCTGTGGGTGTAAGAAAAGTTCTTATCTGTCAGAAATGCAGGCTCAAGTATTTATGAGTACAATGGTATAATACCTGTGATTTCTTTTAAAATATTTCCAGTATCAACAACACACAAGTCATGTTCCAGCCTGTTGAGGGAGTTTGGCTCTTTATAGTGTAACAGAATATACAATCAAACTTTAGAAGAGATTTCACTACAGACACATGTGGAATGAATAATCACCATGTTTAAGGGATGTTTTTCTCAATACATGTGAACCTAAGTAACACTGTCAGCCAACCTCCAAGTCAACATCTCATATACTCATACACCATACAACACTTCATCAAATAAAAGCTTTGTTAAAATCATGATAGCTTACATCAACTTGTCATGCCATTTCCTTCACCTATTAACAAAGTAAACCTAATAAAAGAGAAGTCAAGGTTAGCCTGACATGACTTGTTCTTAGGGATGCCTACAGATTCTCAAAGATCACTGCATTCTTATCTAAATGTCTATGTGTCTAATAATTTGTTCCAGATTTTTCTAAGGAATCACAATGAGCCAATCATTTGTAATTCTCAAATCCCACCTTTACCATATTGGAAAATGTAATTATATTGACATATAATTTACATGCCACACAATTCACCCATTTAAAAAATACAATTCAATGGTTTTTAGTATATTAAGAGAGTTGTATAACTATAACCACCATCTAATTTTAGAATATTTTAATTTCTCCTAAAAGAAACCCTTTAACAATGAACTGTTACACCCCATTCCCCACCTTCCTTTATTTTTTTGTTTTTATTTATTTTTGAGAGACAGAGAGAGAGAAAGCAAGCACAAGTTGGGGAGGGGCAGAGAGAGAGGGACACAGAGAATCCAAAGCAGGCTTCAGGGTCTGAGCTGTCATCACAGAGCCAAACACGGGGCTTGAACCCACGAACCATGAGATCATGACCCGAACTGAAGTCAGACGCTTAACCGACTGAGCCACCCAGGCAAGTCCCCACCTTCCATTCCTAATCTTTTCTGTCTCTAAAAGTTTGGACTACTGCAAATATTTCAAACAAATGGAATCATACAAGGTATTTTTAATGGCTTTTAGCTTTTAAAAAATAGGTTATTATCTTTTAGGATCTCCCACCTTTTAGTATAAAAGTTAATTCCTGTAAGATAATACATTCAAGTTCCTTCAACTCTGGAGTATTTAAGAAACTCACACTCTCCAGGTGCCTGATCCAGTATCAGGTTCCCACGACTTCCTTGGTTTGACATTTTTAGTCCTATAACAAGTAATGCATGGGAGCAATACCCAGAGTCTAGACCATTTCTCTGATCATCTTTGCCTTACATATGAGATTCCCCAAGGTTAGCCTAGATCCTCATCTGATGCTCAAGCTATCCCTACTCCATCCTCCAAAACAACATCCTACCCTACTTTGATTTTTAAGGCTTTGGTTCTTAAGTCAGTCCAGAACTGACCTGGAATTTTGGAAATCTCTCTTGGACTGGGTGAAGTAACTTTCTGGCTCCCCCCAGCTAAACAGAATGGGAAGGAACAAAGAAGACTGTGACTTCATCCCACCCCACCAGGTATCAGCTTTTAATTCTTAAGACTGTTCTCTGGGTTTCAACTTCCATCTTGCCATTCTCTTTTCTCCCGCCATCAGTCAGGATACGCCACGGTGCCAAAAGCACATCAGTTATAGGAACACAAAGGTTGGCAGGAGGGAGTGAGATAGGAGCGAGGTAACTAGATTCTGGAGTCAAAGGTGTGTGTCCTTGGTCCCTTTTACTTCACTGAGGGAGTAAGAGAAGGCTATATGTCTGCAAAGGCGAGACAGAAGATAGCCAGTTATAGCCAGTGAGGCAGAAACTGACTAAAGTCGAGTTACCAGATGGGACAAAGGAAGAACTGAGAAAGAAAGGAGGAAAAAGTGAAGTGGTCAGGGCTTACCTTGCCCAAAGGGGGAAAAAACTTTTGACTAGGGTTAAGTCAGCCCTGAATAGTTGGGAAAGCAGATGGGCCAAAAGGAGAGGGAAGAACTGCTTTGGCATGAGGTTTCTCTGCTGGAGGCCAGCTTTGAAGAGGGAGTAAAGGACAGAGAGGGCTCACACCACCACCTGTCCAAGCCTGCATTCTTTTGGCCATTCAATTAGGTCCCAGGCAGAATTCCCCTCCCCACCCAGCTTTCTCTACAATATGGAGGGTGACCACCTACTAATAAGTGATACAGTATCAAAAGAAGGCAAAAGAACCTAAACTTTCCTGAAGTACTGTTTCACATTAGGAAGGGTTATGCTGTGTCCATGCCCATGGCTCCCAGAAGCCTTCCCCAGATCTATTTGTTAGGCATTTCTTCTTGGAAGCAAGTGTATCATAACTTCCCGAGCTCAGCTGATTAGCTCCCTTTTCTACCCTAGGAGTTTGAACCCAGAGGCAACTTCCAATACATGAGATAAAAAAACATTAATATTTTCAGCAAATATCTCAATCCGGTAATGTTGTGCCTGAACCAGAAAATGTCTGGCAAGCTCAGAATGTAAGTTTATTTCTGAAATAAACTGCACGTGCTGAAACTGATCATCTTAATTAATATTATCATTATAGTAGCTACCAATTTGTATGGAACTATAGTATTTTGATATTTTAAACAGTAGTACATCTATGCTAGTATGTACTAGTTAATCATTAAATCTAAGAGATTCATATCTTATATGGACTCTGAAAGTAACACTAGTGTCCAAAAAGGTGTATGCCTCCTATCGGGACTGGACATCACCGTTTAACACTCTGTAAGCAGAAAACGTTCTGCTAAAACCTATAGAGTACCATACTGAAATAGTCTAAAGAAGTATATAAGTTTAAAAAATACTATGTGAGGGCACCTGGGTGGCTCAGTTGGTTAAACACTGGACTCTTGATTTTACTCAGGTCATGATCTTGCAGTTCGTGAGTTTAAGTTCCTCATCAGGCTCCATACTGACAGTATGGAATCTGCTTGGGATTCTCTCTTCTCTTCTCTTCTCTGTCCCTTCCCCACTCTCTCAAAAATAAATAAACTTAAAAAATAAAAATAAAAAATACTATATGTACCCATGGGGCGTCTAGCCGGCTCAGCTGGCTTAGAGTCTGACTTCAGCTCAGGTTGTGATCTCATAGTTTGAGTTTGAGCCCCATATTGGGCTTGCTGCTGTCAGTGCAGAGCCCACTTCAGATCCTCTGTTACCCCCTCTCTCTGACCCTCCCCCACTTGTGTTCTCTCTCAAACATAAAGAAACATTAAAAAAAAATACTATGTGTAACCAAACACTACCTGTAGTTATTAAAAGTAACACATAAAATAGCATCTACCATATGAGACACAATAAGTCTATCACAAAGTAAAACTTTATTCCACATTCTGAGTACCCATTAGAAGAATAAACTATAACTGAATCCCTATTGCTAGCTTCCTGAGATTTTTAGTATCTGTAGAATGTAGTATTTGATCTGCAAACAAAAGCATCACAGTACCTGATAACGTCCATTTATGACAGCATCGTGTAGGGGAGTGATCTGGAACATTCCTTTGATATTTACATCGGCTCCACCTTTTAATAGTTCACTTGCTGTCTGATAAAATCCTCCTACACTAGCTTCATGAAGTGCTGTCCAACCTATTTTACAAAAAGGAAATGGTATTGGTTTATGTTTGGTATCGTAATGTTTTGTGCTTGCCCTTATAAACTATATAAACTCTAAGTTGTTTCTTTAAAAATATTTTGATTAGATGAGACAAGATAATCCCACCATGAAAATAAACTATTATTAGGTGGATTCAATAAATCTGAAGGCCAAATAAAATTCCTACCCCCAACTCAATTGTGAAAATATGAAAAAAATAAAATATTTGAAACTATTCTTGTCCAGCTCAAATAAAAACGGTGTAAGGGAGTCATTGTTAGCTTAAAGAAATGCTAATTATAGGCTACTTTTTTTTTATTTTTTTATTTTTATTTTTATTTTTTTTAATTTTTTTTTCAACGTTTATTTATTTTTGGGACAGAGAGAGACAGAGCATGAACGGGGGAGGGGCAGAGAGAGAGGGAGACACAGAATTGGAAACAGGCTCCAGGCTCCGAGCCATCAGCCCAGAGCCTGACGCGGGGCTCAAACTCACGGACTGTGAGATCGTGACCTGGCTGAAGTCGGACGCTTAACCGACTGCGCCACCCAGGCGCCCCATAGGCTACTTTTTTGCAAAGAGGGAGAAAAAACTTTATTTCTAGCTCAAGGTACTTCCGTTAAAGTAACCCAGCTGTCAGGAATGCACAGAGGTCACTTCAAAAATATGTATTTCTTTACTCATTTGTAAAAAGCTATTTACAGTAGTTCTAACATAAACTATTGTAACAAAACCAGGCATACAAGTAAGTGTCTTATGTATCCTTAAATATGACTTATGTATCCTCATTAGCCAGAGACAATGGTACGTTATATTTATTCAATTCCAATAAATCATATGATTGATGTAAGAAAACCTAAAAGGTGCATGTGAAAAGTGTATTAAAAAGGGGGGGAGGGTAATATTTCATTAACTCTTTCCAGAACCTTCTCCATAAGCTAGGGTTTCTCTATCTCAGCACCAACATTTTGGGCCAGATAATTCTTTGTTGTTCTGAGCATTCTATTAGATACCAGTAGCACCACTCCCCCATTCCAGTTGTAACAACCAAAAATGTTTCCACAAACTGCGAATGTGCCCTAAAAGCCAGTAACACCACAGTTAAGATCTATTGTTGTAAGATGTTATAGAAAGAGTTTTTCCTATAGTATTAAATAGAAAGCTTTGAGGAAGAAATGAAGAGCAACAAAAAAGGTAAATACATAGTTAATAGAGGAGTTTTTTCCTATAAATTTCCTTAAAATGCATGTGACCATTTAAATTGAAAATCATAACATTATATTTTAGTGTTATTAATTTATATAGCTGTTATATGGCATAAAAGATAAGGGAGATGTGTTCAACGTTCTGACATTTTATAGAAATATTAATATACTAACTCTGAAAAGAAAGAAACATTAAAGATGTACATTGCAATCCCCGGGGTAATCACTACAAAAAAAAAAAAAATGCAAAGACATAGAAAGGAAAAAAAGGATAACATACACGAGGAACAATTAGTAAAATCACAATCCTCACTCAATCCTACATTTTATATTAAATTAAAATTGGCTAATTGCCCCAATTAAAAGGCAGAGATAGTCAGAATTTATCTATTTCTTTATATCTAAAAGCTATCTATAAGAAATATGTATGTATGCTATCTACAAGAAATAAATTTTAAATATAAAGAGGTTGAAAATAAAAGGATGGAAAAAGAACAAATAGACAAGAAACATAAGATACAGCTAGGATGTCTATATTAGTATCATATAGAGTAGCTTCAAGACAAAATGTATTACTAGAGACAAAGAGAAATATTTCAAAATAATTAAAAGGTCAATTTATCACAAGACATGACAATTTACAACTGTGTATGTACCTGATAACAAAGCTTCAAAATACAGGAAGCAAAAATGGACAGAATGAAAGGGAGAAACAGACAACTCCACAATCATAGTTGTTAATATTTCAATATTCTTCTCATGAAATGATAGATAAACTAGACAAAAAAATCCATAAAGACAGACATGATCTGAACATTATTAATCATCTGCATCTAAGCAACAGTTAGAGAACATTACATAAAACTGAGGAATAAACATTCAAATACACAAGGGATATTAACCAAGAAAGACTATATACTAGGAAACTGACCGATTCTCAATATTTGTAAGAGGATAAAATTCACAGAAAGTATATCCTTTGACCAAAAGTAATTAAATTAGAAACCAGTATCAGAAAGATACCTGGACATTCTTCAAATACTTAAAAATTTAACGACTTCTTGGCACAAAACCAGACACATAGACCAATGGAACAGAATACAGAACCCAAAAATAGGCCCACAAATGTATGGCCAGCTAATCTTTGACAAAGCAGAAAAGAGTATCCAATGGAAAAGTCTCTTCAGCAAAAGGTGTTGGGAAAACTGTACAGTGACATGCAGAAGAATGAACCTGGGCCACTTTCTTACCCCATACACAAAAATAAACTCAAAAAGGAGAGACATCAAAATCCTAGAGGAGAAAAAAGGCAACAACCTCTTTTACCTTGGCTGCAGCAACCTCTTGATAGAGGTTTGGGTTACACAGGTGAATATATATGTCAAAATTCATCAAATAGCACATTTAAGATCTGCATGTCACCATATGAAAATTTTACCTCTAAAAAAAACTGAACTCTATGGGGCACCTGGGTGGCGCAGTCGGTTAAGCGTCCGACTTCAGCCAGGTCACGATCTCGCGGTCCGTGAGTTCGAGCCCCGCGTCGGGCTCTGGGCTGATGGCTCAGAGCCTGGACCCTGTTTCTGATTCTGTGTCTCCCTCTCTCTCTGCCCCTCCCCCGTCCATGCTCTGTCTCTCTCTGTCCCAAAAAAATAAATAAACGTTAAAAAAAAATTAAAAAAAAAATTAAAATTAAAAAAAAATTGAACTCTAGTTAGAGATAGTATTTCTCAGGTGTTTGGTGGTAAAATGTACTAACTTTCTTTGAACTGTGTCAACATAAAGATGGATTGATGGACAGAGATTTATAGATGTAAAGGTATGGTGGATAGGCAGGGGCTCTGCCCCCTGGTTCCTGGCACAGAATGTCTAAACCCTTTTAAACACGGGTGCTAGGAGAATCTTTTGTTCTAATACTTCGTCTCTCACCCCAGTTACTCACAGAGAATCCCCAAGACCTTTACAATTTCCCAAGTGATAAAAAATGTCTGACACAAAGCTCCTAAGTCCCTTATTCCCTGGGTGATAAAAACATCTTTTGTTCTAGTGAGGCAACTTTTGGTGGACTCCCAGGTTGGGGCTGGTCATAAGAAAGACTAAACCATGATCAGAAACTTGGAACTTTCAGTTTCATGTCCTCCCAACCCCCACCCTGCCTTCATGATGAAGAATCCATGAAAACCCCAAAACTCCGGGGTTCAGAGAACTTTTCCACACTGGTGAACACAACTACATGCTAGGAAGGTAACACACTCCAATTCCACACGGACAGAAGCTCCTGAGCTCAGGACTCTTCCAGACCTCACTCTATGTATCTTCATCTGGCTGTTAGTCTGTATCTGTATCCTTTGTCATATCTTTTATCATAATAATAAGTAAACTTACATGGTAAACATAAGTGTTTCCCTGAGTTCTGTAAGCTACTTTAGGAAATGACTGAATCTGAGGAGGGGACTGTGGGAACCTCCAATTTGTAGCCAAGCTGAACAGAAATTGTGGGCAACCTGGGGACCTACTACTTGTGACTGGCATCTGAAGTGGGGGTTTCTGACTGAGCCCTTAACCTGTGGGGTCTGTACTAATATGGGTTAGTGTCAAAAATGAATTAAATTGCAGGACACTCAGCTGGTGTTGGAGAATTGCTTGATGTGTCCAAAACCCACACATGCGATATCACAAGTGTTAGGAATAAAAGTAGAAGAGAAACACACAAGTGTTCTTCCTTTATAGTAAGTATGTGATGAAAATAAATATGTAGAATGTGGGTATTAGGTATACAGATGCTTACTGTAGATTTTTTTTAACTTTTCTGTATGTTTGCAATTTTTCATAATGTCATAAAAATTTCAAATAAATAGCTCACTTGTGAACTTTTGAAACATAAGCACTTAAGGACTACCTATTTTTAAAAATGTAACATAAAAATTAGGTCCCTCCAGCACTTTTTCTGATAAAAAGTGTGAACTTGTTTAGATTTCGGGACCTGTGGAAATTTGCTTATCAACGCATATACTGATTAACCTGATTATCTGCCACCAGTCTAGGATGAAAAGTGAAATGTGAGAAATCCAAAAGTTATTAAAGAAGATGATAATTTTCCTTCTAGAAAACTTCCTTTCCTTATTTAGGTTTTGATTAAACTACAATAAAAGTTAGTTTCCTAAAGGGGCAAAAATGACTGCTTTAGGAATGAGAAACCCATAACAAAAGATTGGTTTGTTTTCCCTGAGCCAGAATGATGAAAAACATAAGGTAAATGTACAGTGAAAAGCTAGTCTCCTGTTTTAAATTAACTGCAGAAAATTCCCAAAGAAGAGAATTACTGCATGTCAGTAATTCAGAGTTAACGGTGGGGCCTCAAGGAAGGAGTGAAAAATGAATGCTACTCTGGAGACCTAAACAAGAATGAACCAGTGATGAATACTACCAGTCTTAAGGATGAAAGAAATTCCCAGCATCCACAAAGCCAGATGGACCTTTATTTTGCAGAGAGAGCCATGGTAGACCAGATATGGCTACACATCTGACAGAAAAAAATCAAACGGGGGTGCCTGGGTGGTTCTGTCCGTTAAGTGTCCGACTTCAGCTCAGGTCATGATCTCGTGGTTTGTGGGTTTGAGCCCCGCGTTGGGCTCTGTGCTGACAGCTCAGAGCCTGGAGCCTGCTTCACATTCTGTGTCTCCCTCGCTCTCTACCCCTCCTGCACTCAACACTCTGTCTCTCTCTCAAAAATAAACATTAAAAATTAAAAGGAAAGAAATCAAATGTACAAAGAATTTCCCTTCCCTTAGGGAGTACTCCTTCTGTGTTATAAAACCACTCCTTCAAAATAAAGATGGATCACACTTTACAACATATCTTTTATCTCCCAGATCTACCAGTGGAAGATCCTTTTTTTTTAAGTTTATTTATTTATTTTTGAGAGCGCGCGAAAGCATGAGTGGGGGGAGGGGCAGAGAGAGAGAGGGAGAGAGAATTCCAAGCAGGCTCCACACTGTCAGCACAGAGCCTGATGCAATGCCTGAAATCATAAACGTTAAGATCATGACCTGAGACAAAATCAAGATGCTTAACTGAATGAGCCATCCAAGCACCCCTACAGGTTAGAAGATCCCTGAACATTTTTTCTTTTTAAAAATTTAATCATCTTGAAGGAAATATCTTTAAAGCTTTATAGGATTATAAATTTCCCAGAAAGAAAATATAACCTAACACATTTTTAATAAAGATTCAAGATCCTAACAATCATAATATTAGTTACATGCTCTAATGTAGCAATTGTTAACACTCACGGAGGTCTAAGTGCATGCTTTACTACATTATACAGTCCTCAACAATGTGTCCTCTCATTTTTAATTTTTTTGTCTCTTGCCTTGTTGTTAAACTTCTTGCTATTATCAACATCCTGGTCTGTGCCAATCTTTGCTTTCATTTCTACTGTGCCATAAACTTAGGAATCAGATAGAATTCTGTGTAAAATAATGCTAAGAGCATTGGTGTGAGATAGTTTTAGCGAAGAAGCTTTATGAAATCTGTTTTGGGTATTCAGACTTCAGCCTATTTCCTGGTCGTCATCTTTGTTTTTGATAAACGAAGAATTACTGCAATTGGTTTTTTAAATCAAAGAAAAAGATAACATAAAATGTAAACAAGGATTTAAAATGCAAATGTCATGGGGCGCCTGGGTGGCGCAGTCGGTTAAGCGTCTGACTTCAGCCAGGTCACGATCTCGCGGTCCGTGAGTTCGAGCCCCGCGTCAGGCTCTGGGCTGATGGCTCAGAGCCTGGAGCCTGTTTCCGATTCTGTGTCTCCCTCTCTCTCCGCCCCTCCCCTGTTCATGCTCTGTCTCTCTCTGTCCCAAAAATAAATAAACGTTGAAAAAAAAAATTAAAAAAAAAATAAAAAACAAAATAAAATGCAAATGTCAACCTATGACAAGACTATTGGTCTGTTATTGTAACATTTTATTAATTTCTCAAAAGGCACTTACCTTTTTTTTGGATTATATCACAGAATATATTTAAATTTTCTAGTAAACATGTCTTTCTGTTTTCACAGCACGTGGCACATAGGAGACATACTATAAAAGCTCACTACAATGAACTGGTTTATTACATAGAGGTGTACACCTCTTGCCAGTAGTTGCTAGTAGTTCTTGAACTTTAGTGAGAATAAAAATCATTGGGGGAACATGCTAAAATACAGATTTCAAGGTTTTAACCTACATATTTTGACTGTGAGACTGGGTGTGAATATGTGTGTTTGGGGGGGTGAAATAAAGGCTACATTTTAAACAAACACTGCAGGTGACTCTGATGAAACAAATAGTTACAAAGTCTTTAAAAATGCTGCCCTCTAGGGGTCCCTGGGTGGCTCAGTTGGTTGAACTTCCAACTTCAGCTCAGGTCGTCATCTCATGCATGGTTCCTGAGTTCGAGCCCTACATCGGGCTCTGTGCTGACAGCTTGGACCCTGCTTTCGATTCTGGGTCTCCCTCTCTCTCTGCCCCTCTCCTGCTTGTGCTCTAAAATAAATAAACATTAAGAAAAAAACCAACACTGCCCTCTGCAATTTTATGGGATGTAATAGCCAGAAATAAAGATAAGAGCTAAGATGAAGAGTTAGAAGGAAAAGTAGAGAACAAGAGAGACTTCAAAAAGTCAGAAAAGTATGTTAAGGATAAAGAATTCATGAAGGTCACAGAAGTACCTGGGGCAGTGAGGAGAAAGTGCACAATAAATGGCCAAAGACAAGGAGGGAAGAGACAGCAAGGATGTTAATGGTGCAGACAAGGGCTAATGAAAAGAAACATGTTAAGAGATTTTTGGGAAATCCATAAAGTAAAGTTAGCTGCATGCAGAGCTACTCCTGAATTTAAGGAGCAGATAGAGATTAACAAAAACTACCAGACATTTTTTGTGCACTGTTTCATAAAGTCTAGAAACGGTAGAAAAAGTATGGATACATAAAAGTACTACCCAGGCTGGCCCAGTGCTGCTCAGTGCCTTAAGTACTTAAGTGTCTTTAAGGAATCATTCTTGTCCAGGAGAATATAAGGTTCTTTCTGCAAAAAAAGACTACCAGAGATCCAGCCTCGTAGAAAGAAAGTTCTGAGCTCGCTGTCCCACCCTCTCTATCTCATACACCCTTCTCTCCATTTCCCTGGCCATTGCCCCTGTTATACACCTGCAATGTTATCTCAATTTCCGTCACATCTCAAGTGTACCATCAGCTTCTTTCAGCTTTTGACCTCACTTCTCTTCCATTCAAAGCTGAGTGTCACGGTAACAACGCCCATGCAAAGCCAGCAAGTCAGCCCCAAGAACGGCACTCTTCTGTGCAAGCCAACTGCACGTGACCCACCTGGGGGGCCCTCAGCAGGCATAATCTTTGAAGGTTAAATATACTACTCTTCTCCTGCTCCTCTTTCCCCTCGTTACCATTTCCCAAGGAGATGATGATGATCAGCTACTCAAGCAGGAAAATGACCTGGAAACTCTGTGTGAGACTTGCCTCAGGTCCACTTTGCCATACTTTCACAGAAGTGACTCTGCAGAAACTACGAACCACCTTCAAAATAATGTGGGTGGTAACCCCAACTTACCAGCATAACTTTGTTGATTAACATTTCCCCCTTTTACTATAAAATGATGAACAAGGTCAGGGTCATTGTGCAGAGCAGCCTGATACAGTAAGTTCTCTCCAAAAATGTTTCTACGGTTAATGTTAGAAAGAGGTATTTCATTCATCTTCATTTTTCCTGAAATGAGGGAATAAACAAAAGAAAACAAACAAATAAGAATCCTTATTTGAAAATCAGAAGGAATACATGTAATAGAGTGAATCTAGTCAACATTCTGGAATTATATTATGAAAAAGTATTGCATCCATTTACCCAACATTATATAATGTTACCTACAGGCAAAAAGGTGAGAGAAAAAATGTCATTAGTTTGAAAACACCTGCAATACATTATAAATCATGTAAGAAGTTTATATTTATTGAAACCCCATGAAAAGTACATACTTTAGAAGACTAACAGATTCTTTTTAAAAAAAAACAGATTATTTTAAGAGTTCTGGTGAAAAGGATTATTTAAATCTAGATGTTATTAAACCCCCCAAAATACTATAGTACTAAAATGTCTTATACCACCATCATGAGAAAATCTCAGAAGTACATAAGGAAAATATAAAAACTAACCCCAGTGAGTCCAGAAAAGAGAAGGCTAAATTTTCTTTCTTTGCTAAAAAGAGCTGTCATAAAATTAAACAAAGAAATATGATCTTGATCTGTACAATAGTTTTGAACTCCTAAGCCAGAAAATATATAATTTAAATAGCTTCCCAAGTTATACATATCATTTCTCCACTGTGTCTCCGAAAATACTGCCATTCCTCATAAGATACTCTAAGTCCTGTCAATTTTTATGGATAATACTTCATGTGGTTTTCCCGAATTTGAAAATAGCTTTGATTATAGCTTTTCCAATTTGAATCTAGCTAACCTACCCCTCCTAAATTCTCACAAAGGTAAACGAGTACAGCAGCCCATTTTTTAATGGACTATAATTTATCTGCTTTGCCTTTATTAGACTGCCTCCATTCAGTTCCACTGTAAAAGAAACCAACTTCTGGCCATTTAACCTGCTTCCCCCCGTTCTGGACTACAAAGCATTCTGCTCCTACGAGAAAACTGTATGCTTACCAAAACCCAGTAGCCTTTACTCTAAGATCTTTGCCAGTTATACTTGCTATTCTAGTTATATAATTTATTAAGGTAACAAATTAAGAAGAATGCCAAATTTTTCAATGAAAACTAAGTTGGAGAAGACATTCACTTGTAATCATGACTAGACAAAATATATATGGGGTAAAACAAAACAAAACAAAACCCTAATATTCAGACACTGGAAAACAGGCAGTTCACATCTACAACTCGTCTGAGAGGAGGGAAACAAAGTGAGCCCCAAGAGCACTCCAGTTTCTTGTCTGCTGGACAGAAACTGTCTGGATGCACTTTCCAGAACATAGCAGAAGCATAGCAAGGTGATCCTGCTGAACTGAGGAGATAGAGATTAAAGTTTCAGGAGGCTGAGGTGATTAGATTTTGCAGGGCAGGATACCAGGGATGAGGGAGTAAAGAATAGGTACCAGAAATCTAAAGAAGGGACTCCTTGGGCCATTATCTGAATACTAAATGGCTCATATGGAGGAGGAGTCTTCATGAGGCTGGCAAGAACAACTATCCAAGAACTATAAAATAATAATCATGACAGGTCACACAGGCCTGGGTGACATTTACATTCCTGACAGCCTGAGGAGACAGATCTTTTTGAACAACCAGGGCATTAGTGGAAGACAAACCATTGACAAGTTATGTCTCAGTAGGAGTTGTTTAACTAGCTCCAGGATAAAGCCTACACCAAACATGCCTAACTACAAGGTTTCTTAAAAAGTGCTGAAAGGATCAATTTTTTCTTCAAGTCACTGTGGGCCAAAACAAAATGCAACATTCTTAAAATATATGGAGATATTCAATAACATTTTGTTGCACGTGGATGTCCAACTGTTCCCCTCTACAAAAGCCTTGTGCCTTTGTCAAAATTCAGGTTTTACTTCTGAACTCTTGTTACATTGCTTTCCCTATCTTGACGCAAAAGTCATGCTGTTGTGGTTACAATAACTATATAATTCTTAAAATCAGGCAGAGTGTTAAGCCCTCTAACTGTTTTACCAGTCTAGGTCCTCTGCAGTCTATTTGAATTTTAGAACCAGCCTGTAAATTTCTACAAGAAACCATACAGGAACTTTGACTGGGATTGTACAGAATCCATAAATAGTATCTAGGGAGAAACAGCATCTTAACAATATTGAGTCTTCTGACTGATGAACAAAGCAATAGACCTCCATTTGTCTCCATCAGATTTTCTTTGATTTCTCTGAATAATGTTTTGTAAGTTTCAGTGTATCTGTCTTTTTCAATAGTTTGTCAAATTTATCCCTATGTAGTTCATATTTTTTGATACTATGGTATCAATTTTCACTGTCACTAGAATATAGAAACGCAATGTTTGTATTTTCATCTTGTATCCTTTAATTGTGCAAAATTCACTTATACTTGCTTTAACACAGATTCCATTAGATTTTCTATATAGATGATTATGTCATTTGTGACTAAACACAGTTTTACTTCTTTCCCCAAATGAATGCTTTTTATTTATTTATTTTTTCCTGATTGCACTGGCTAAACCCTCTGGTACAATGTTCAACAGAAGTAGTGACAGCAGACATCCCCTGCCTTATTTTTGATCTTAGGGGAAAAGTATTCAGTCTTTAAGTATAATACCTGTAAATATTTTTGTAGATGCCCTCTGTCAGGTTAACAAAATTCCCCTTTATTCTTACTTTGCTGAGAGTTTTCACGTGTGATGGATGTTAGGCGTTGTCAAATGTTTTCTCTGCATCCAGTGAGATGATGATATGGTTTTTCTTTTTTAGCTTGTTAGTGAATTACAGTAATTAATTTTTAAATCAAAACTAATCCTGCATTCCTCAGATAAACCCCACTCTGTTATGATGAATTTGATTTGCTAAAATTTCATTTAGATTTTTGCATCTATGTTTATGAGACATTCATCTGTAGTTTTCCGTTCCAGTGATGTCTTTGATTTTGGTTTCAGTTCATTGGTGGTTTCATAGAATGAATTGGGAAGTATTTCCTTATCTTCAACTTTTTGGAAGAGTTTGTGGAAAACAGGTTCTATTTATTCCTTAAATGTCTAGTAGAATTCACCAGTGAAGGTATTATGAACTGAACTGCATCCCCTCAAAATTCATATGTTGAAGCCATAATAAAATAGGACTGGTGTCTTTATAAAAAAAAAGGTAGAAACACCAGACCTCTCCACACATGAAGGAAGGACACTTCAAGAAGATGGCTGTCTGCAAGCCAGGTAGAGGTCTTGCCAGAAATCAAATTCTCTATTACCTTGATCTTAGACATCTAGCTTCCAGAATGGTGAGAATTTGTCATTTAAGCCATGCAGTTTGTGGTTTGGTTATGATAACCCTAGCAGACTTATCTAGAAGGCATTGAGCCTACAAGTTTTTTGTTTGTTTGTTGATTTTTTGGTGGCAAAGTTTTTAACTACAACTGCAATTTATTTAACAGATAATATTATTATTCAAGTTGCTCATTTCTAATAATTTCTTTCAGGGAACATGTCCATTTCATCTAAGTTGCTGAATGCATTGGCAAAAAGTTGTTCAGAACATTCCCTTATTATCCTTTTCATATTTGTAGACTATGAATGATGTTACCTCTCTAGTTTCTGATATTTGGAATTTGTATCTTCTTTTATTTCCTCATCAGTCTGGCTATAGTTTATCAATTTTATTGATCTTCCCAAAGCACCAGCTGTTCACTTCATTGATTTTCTCAATATTTTTCTGTTTTCTATTTCACTGATTTCTGCTTTACCAGTGCTTTCTCTTTTATTATTTCCATTCTTTGGTTTACTTTGGATTTCATCCACTTATATTCTTCCAGGTTCTTAAGGCAGAAACTGATGTCCTTAATTTGACAGTGTTCTTCATTTCTAATATACATATTTGGTACTATGTTTCCCCCTTACTTACTTTCTGTGACATCCCAAAATATTGCTATGTTGTGTTTTCATTTTATTTTAGTCAAAAACACTTTCAGATTTCCCTTTCAACTTCCTTTTTGACCCATGAGTTACTTAAAAGTGTGCTATTTAATTTCAAAATATTTCAGGATTTTACAGAAATCTTTCTATTACTGATTTCTGATTTAATTCCATTGGTATAAGAGAACACACTCTTTTAATTTAATTCTGTTAAATTTATTGACACTGGTTTTACGGCCAAGAATAAAACTCTTAAAATATTCTGTGTTTATTTGAAAAGAATGTGTGATCTTCTGCTGATGGGTGGAAAGTTCTAAAAACTTTAAGTCAAGCTGATCGATTGTGTTGCTTAAATATTCTGTATCACTACTGATAATTCTATTTGGCTTTTTTAAAAATAATTTAAAATTTTTTTAATGTTTATTTATTTTTGAGACAGAGATAGACAGAGCATGAGTGGGGGAGGCAGAGAGAGGAGACATAGAATCCAAACCAGGCTTCAGACTCTGAGCTGTCAGCACAGAGCCCAATGCGGCTCAAACTCACAAACCATGGGATCATGACCTGAGGTGAAGTCGTCGGAAGCTTAACCAACTAAGCCACCTAGGCACCCCTATAAATTTTTTTTATGTTTATATATTTTTGAGAAAGAGAGACAGAGTGTGAGTAGAGAAGGGGCAGAGAGAGGGAGGGAGACACAGAATCCAAAGCAAGCTTCAGGCTCTGAGCTGTCAGCACAGCCCGTCACAGGGCTTGAACCCATGAACCATGAGATCATGACCTGAAACGAAGTTGTACATTCAACTGACTGAGCCAGGCAGGTGCCCCTGGTTTTTTGTTTTTTTAAGTTTATTTATTTATTTTTGAGAGAGAGAGAGAGAGAGAGAGAGAGAGAGCGAGCAGGGGAGGGACAGGGAGAGGGAGACAGAATCCCAAGTAGGCCCCGCACGGTCAGCACAGACAGGGCTCAAACCAACAAACTGTGAGATTATGACCTGAGCCAAAATCGAGAGTCAGATGTTTAACTGACTGAGCCACCCAGACACCCCTACTTAGCTTATTATAATGACTTAACAATTGCTGAAAGAGTGGTACTGAAATCTCTAATT